TTCAGCAAATGGTGTTGAGATAACTGGACAGCTGCATGTAAATCAATTGTAAATCAATGAAGTTAGAATACTGTCGCATACTATACACAAAAATAAACTCAAAATGGCTTAAAGACTTAAACATAAGACAAGCCACTATAAACCTCTTAGAAGAAAACACAGGCAAAACATAGGCAATAGAAATAAAAGCAAAAATAAACAAATGGGACCTAATTAAATTTAAGAGCTTTTGCACAGCAAAGGAATCCATAAGCAAAACAAAAAGACAATGTACGAAATGGGAGAAAATATTTGCAAAAGATGAGACTGACAAAGGTTTAATTTCCAGAATATATAAGCAGCTCATACAACTTAATAATAAAAAAAAAAATCCAAAAGTGGGCAGAAGACATAAACAAGCAATTCTCCAATAAAGACATACAAATGGCCAATAGGCATATGAAAAAATGTTCAATATTGCTAATCATCAAAGAAATGCAAATCAAAACTACAGTGAGGTATCACCTCACACGAGCAGAATGGCCATCATTCAAAAGTGCACAAACAATAAATGCTGGAGAGGGTGTTGAGAAAAGGGAATCCTCTGCTGGTACGAATGTAGTTTGGTGTAGCCATTATGGAAAAAGTACCGAGATTCCTCAAAAAACTAAAAATAAACTTACCATATAATCCAGCAATCCCACTCCTAGGCATATATCCAGAGGGAACCTTAGTTCAAAAAGATATATGCACCCCAGTGTTCATAACAGAACGATTTACAATAGCCAAGACATGGGAACAACCTAAATGTCCATTTACAGATGATTGGATAAAGAAGCTGTGGTATATACAATGGAATACTACTCAGCCATAAAAAATAATAATGCCATTTGCAGTAACATGGATGGACCTGGAGACTGTCATTCTAAGTGAGGTAAGCCAGAAAGAGAAGGGGGAAAAAATACCATATGATATCACTTTCATGTGGAATCTAAAAAAAAAAAAGAAGACAAACTTATTTACAAAACAGAAAAAGACTCACAGACATAGAAAACAAACATGGTTACTAGGGGAAGAAGGGGGTGGGATGGATAAATTGGAAGTTCAAATTTGCAGATACTAATATATATAAAATAGATAAACAATTTCCTACTGTATAGCACAGGGAACTATATTCAATATCTCGTAATAACTTACGGTGAAAAAGAATATGAAAACAAATATATCTATGTTCATGTATGACTGAAGCATTATGCTGTACACCAGAAATTGACACAACATTGTAAACTGACTATACCTCAATTAAAAAAATATATATATATATATAAAGATCTAAATGTAAGATTGGAAACCATAAAACTCCTAGAGGAAACATAGGCAGCACATTCTTTGACATAAATTGCAGAGGTATTTTATCAGATTTGTCTCCTAAAGCAAAGGAAATGAAAGCAAAAATAAACAAGTGGGACCTATAAAACTTACAAGCTTTTACACAACCAAGGAAACTATCAACAAAATGAAAAGACAACTTACTGAATGGGTGAAAATATTTGCAAACGATGTAACTGATAAGGAGTTAATATCTAACATATATAAACAGTTCATACAACTTAACATACAAAAAACAAACAACCTGATTAAAAAATGGGCAGAACTGAATAGACATTTTTCCAAAGAAGAAAAACAGATGGCCAACAAGCACATAAAAAATGGTCAACATTGCTAGTCATCAGGGAAATGCAAATCAAAACCACAATGCGTTATCACGTCACACCTGTCAGAATGGATAACATCAACAAAAGCACAAATAACAAATGTTGGTCTAGGATGTGGAGAAGAGGGAACACTTGTGCACTTTTAGTGGGAATGTAAATTGGTACAGCCACTGTGGAAAACAATATGGGAGTTTCTCAAAAAACTAAAAATAGAACTACCATTATGACCCAACAATTCCACTACTGGGTATATATCAAAAAAAAAAAAAACTAAAACCACTAATGGAAAAGATACATGCACTCCAATGTGCACAGCAGTATTACTTAACAATTGCCAATATATAGAAGTAACCTAAGTATCTGTCAACAGATGAATGGTTATAAAGATGTGATACACACACACAATGGAATACTGCTCAACCATAAAGAATGAAATGTTACCATTTGCAGCAACATGGATGGACTTCAGGGTATTATGCTAAGTGAAATAAGTCAGAAAGAGAAGGACAAATACAGTATGATATAACTTATATGTGGAGTCTTAAAAATACAACAAACTAGTGAACATAACAACAACAACAACTTTTTTGCTTTTTTGCAAACTCTCAGATACAGGAAACAAACTAGTAGTTGCCAATGAGGAGATCAAAGGGGGCAGGGGCATTATAGGGATAAAAGATTAAGAGTTAAAAACTATTATGTATAAAATATGCTACAAGGATTTACTGTACAAAATGGAAAATGTAGCCAATATTTTATAATACTATAGATGAGTATAATTTTTAAAATTGTGAATCACTATATTGTATGGCTATAACATATAATATTGTACAACTATACTTCAATTAAAAAACAGATCATTGAAAAAAAATACAGCAGCAATTTTAAATCTGATTCCATGAAAGGAGCATTCTTCTTCCAAAAAGAACATTTACATTACCCACTACAGCTTAAAATTAATATTATGGATCAAAATACTGAGAAAGAAAAGTAGTTAAATTGGTCTTACCTTTGGTTAAAATAAATTTTTAAATTCCTATCTAATATTAATGGCTGTGAAATGCTCAGTTTTTCCACCTGAACTATACCTTTTAAAATGTATTTTTAGCAAACGGGCCACATAGAGTAGTAAGTCCAAAGTTCATCTCAGTTCCTCCCTAACATTAATAAGGGTTTCAATGGAATACACTGCTTAGATTTAAGTTATTAGCTTAATATTTTCAAATAAATAAATATTTCAAAAATTGAATTAAATATTAGGTGAGCCATATGATGATGCCAGTTGCTATAAATCAAAAACAGGCAAATTTTGGTGATTCCATGTAGTTTAATCTAATAATTTAAGTTCAGACAGTTCAAACTGTACTCTAGAAAAAAGCAAATACATACAAAAAAACTGTTTACATCATGTGAAAATACATGTAAATTTTCCAAAGGAAATAATTAAATGCAAAGGATAAAGAGAAATAAAGATATTGGGGTTTATGAGAAAGGAAAAAAAAACAGGCATTTCAGCAGGTTACTGAAATCTTGGTGAAATCTGCTTCACCTTTACGAAGAGGCTCTACTTAGCAAATCACTGTGTAAGCTGCCTCAGTAACAGAACTCCTGCTCTCAAGTTTACTTGCAATGATTTCAACAGAGAAGTTAATTTCTTAGATGGCAAGAAAAGGTTACCTGAAATGGGGAAAACACAGGAGACCAAGATTTCTGTTAATAAAATAGACAGTCATCAGTCTAGGCAATGAACTCAGAGCTGTGTTATGCTCTGCAAGATCTGAATTCCTTACAGCTCAACTATTACCATTACTTTAGACACACGTACATACATACATGTGTATGTACATAATTCCCTGTTACCTGGTTTTGGAAAGTTCCTAGTTTAAGCACTGAAAGTTCCATGATCTAGAAACCCAAGCCTAGGCAAACTGGGATGATTAGTTACCCTAACCTACAGCTACCAATCCATGAACATGCATGTGTTTGTGTGCATATACCCACACACACTCACCCATCCACATCCCAGACTCCAAAAAATGTTTTCCTATAACTTACAATGAATTTATTAACTCTTCAGAAAATAAGTAGTGTTATAAAATTATCCAAAAGTTATTTGTTTTATGACTATATCAATAAAATACGTAACTGGCAGTGATGAAATCTGAGAGCTTGGAAATTACCATTCATCACAAGTCACCAGACACATTCCTTCCTAAAAAATTTCATGTTTCAGTCATACATTGATAAGCATTATCATTGGTAACCTCTTACAATTACGCCTATTTTGTAAATATGATGAAAATCTCTGTGCCATTCTATAGGTTCAAATCTCAGCTTCACCACTTATCAACAATGTAACTTCAGGAGAAACTCCTTGACCTCATTCTCTATTTCCTACTCTGTAAAATGGAAATAACAATAATATGTACATCATAGGGTTTTCATGAGTATTAAATGATACAATGTATATAAAATACAGTAGCATAAAATTCATTCTCAACAAATGTTACTTATTAATATAACTGCTATATATATATATATATATTGCACGGGTAAGAACTTGTAAATGCTTTGAAGGTGGGAGTCACCCATTCCTGTCTTCTTTGGTGGAAATATTTTCTATTAAAAATAATTTATTTCCTTTTATAAAATATTAGTTTTTATAGTCAGAACAATTCTGGAAATCTTAAGAGAATCTTGAATAGTATTAAAAAGAGTGTCCTTATGAGATTAATTACTTATTTATATAGAATTTCTTCCCATTATTGAATTTCAACATTGGATATAATAGTGCAAGAATAAAAATCAGAGCTCCTTGCCCCCTGACTTTAATAAAATATAATATTTAATGGGCTAAAATACAGGTGGTAAAGTTCTATCTGTGCTAAAGAGAACACGTATACAAATTAAATCAAAATAAAATTAAATTAGATTTTAGAATTGGAGGAAACCTTTAAAATCATTCAATAGTGCCTTCATTTTATAAATAAGACCCAAAAAAGGTGATTTTTTCCAATGTCATATGGCCAAAATGAGATAGTACAAAAATTCAAGTCTCCAATACCTGCCTCAATTATTTGTTCAACATGCTTCTCTCCAAACTCTAAGTGAAAATTATTAGACAAATTCCTATTCCAAAATTTCTAATAACAACCATTTTCAAATACATTAAGATAATTAAGAGGACATGTGATGAGAAGGATGAAGAAAAAATAATTAGTATTAAGTAGTAATAAGTACACTTTGAAGTCTGACAGAGCCAGCTCTGCCACTCCTTCACTCTGTGTCAACAGGCAAAGTACTTACTCTATCCGAGCTTCAGGTTCCTCATTAGTAAAACGGGGATAATACTACCTAGAACAAATAACATAAAAAAGGGTTCGATTAGCACAGTAAAGCAGGGTGTATGTATCTTTTTGAATTAATGTTTTTGCTTTTCTCAGATACATGCCCAAGAGTGGAATTGCTGGGCCATATAATGGTTCTATTTTTAGGTTTTTGAGAAGTATTCATATTGTTTTCCATAGTGGCTGCACCAATTTACATTCCCACCAACAGTGTACAAGTGTTCCCTTTTCTCTACATCCTTGCCAACAATTATTTGTGTTCTTTTTGATGATGGCCATTCTGACAGGTGTGAGATGATATCTCATTGTGATGTGATTTTGTTTTGCATTTCCCTGATATTAGTGATGTTGAGCAACTTTTCATGTTCCTGTTAGCCATCTGCATTTCCTCTTTTGGAAGAATGTGTGTTCATTTCTTCTGCCCATATTTTAAATGGGTTGGTTGGTTGCTTTTTAACTGAAGTACAGTTGATTTAAAATGTATTAATTTCTGGTGTACAGCAATGGATGGATTTAGAGGGCATTATGCTAAGTGAAATAAGTCAGACAGAGAAAGACAAATACTGTAAGATATCACTTACATGTGGAGTCTAAAAGAACAGCAAACTAGTGAATATAACAGAAAAGAAACAGACTCACAGATGTAGAGAAGGAACTAGTGGTTACCAGTGGGGAGAGGGAAGGGGGAGGGGCGAGGTGGAGGATTAAAGAGGTACAAACCATCAGGAATAAAATAAGCTATAAGGATACAGCATGGGGCTTTTTTAGCGCCATCTGCTCGCGGCGCCACCTCCTGCTCCTCCTGCCGCCGCCCTGAGTCACTGCCTGCGCAGCTCCGGCCGCCTGGCTCCCCGTGCTCGCCACCGGTACTTGATCTTCATACAACATGGCAGACATCGACAACAAAGAACAGTCTGAACTTGATCAAGATTTGGATGATGTTGAAGAAGTAGAAGAGGAAGAAACTGGTGAAGAAACAAAAATCAAAGCGCGTCAACTGACTGTTCAGATGATGCAAAATCCTCAGATTCTTGCAGCTCTTCAAGAAAGACTTGATGGTCTGGTAGAAACACCAACAGGATACATTGAAAGCTTGCCTAGGGTAGTTAAAAGATGGGTGAATGCTCTCAAAAACCTTCAAGTTAAATGTGCACAGATAGAAGCCAAATTTTATGAGGAAGTTCATGATCTTGAAAGAAAGTATGCTGTCCTCTATCAGCCTCTATTTGATAAGCGATTTGAGATTATTAATGCAATTTATGAGCCTACGGAAGAAGAATGTGAATGGAAACCCGATGAGGAAGATGAGATTTCGGAGGAGCTGAAAGAAAAGGCCAAGATTGAAGATGAGAAAAAAGATGAAGAAAAAGAAGACCCCAAGGGAATTCCTGAATTTTGGTTGACTGTTTTTAAGAATGTTGACTTGCTTAGTGATACGGTTCAGGAACATGATGAACCTATTCTGAAGCACTTGAAAGATATTAAAGTGAAGTTCTCAGATGCTGGCCAGCCTATGAGTTTTGTCTTAGAATTTCACTTTGAACCCAATGAATATTTCACAAATGAAGTGTTGACAAAGACATACAGAATGAGGTCAGAACCAGATGATTCTGATCCCTTTTCTTTTGATGGACCAGAAATTATGGGCTGTACAGGGTGCCAGATAGATTGGAAAAAAGGGAAGAATGTTACTTTGAAAACCATTAAGAAGAAGCAGAAACACAAGGGACGTGGGACAGTTCGTACTGTGACCAAAACAGTCTCTAACGACTCTTTCTTTAATTTTTTTGCCCCCCCTGAAGTTCCTGAGAGTGGAGATCTGGATGACGATGCTGAAGCTATTCTTGCCGCAGACTTTGAAATCGGTCACTTTTTACGTGAGCACATAATTCCAAGATCAGTGGATCTGGTTCACTGGAGAAGCCATCGAAGATGATGATGATGATTATGATGAAGAAGGTGAAGAAGCAGATGAGGAAGGGGAAGAAGAAGGAGATGAGGAAAATGATCCAGACTATGACCCAAAGAAGGATCAAAACCCAGCAGAGTGCAAGCAGCAGTGAAGCAGGATGTATGTGGCCTTGAGGATAACCTGCACTGGTCTACCTTCTGCTTCCGTGGAAAGGATGAATTTACATCATTTGACAAGCCTATTTCAAGTTTTTTGTTGTTTGTTTGTTTGCTTGTTTTTGTTTTTGCAGCCTAAAATAAAAATGTCAAATATAATTTTAAAAAAAAAAGGATACAGCATGGGGAATATAGCCAATATTTTATAATAACAATAAATGGAGTATAACCTTTAAAAACTTTGAATTAGTATATTGTATACCTGTAACATTTAATATTGTACATCAACTATACTTCAATTTTAAAAATATGATATTGTAAAATACATAAATTAATTTAAAAATTAAAATTAAAAAAAAAAGAATAGCACAATAGTTGGGAGTCAAACTACCAACACTTGAATCCCAACTCTAAAACTTACTCATTGTTTGACCAAGTTTCATGACTTCTTTGAGCCATGGAAAGTACTTTGGTAAAGAACATGGCACATAATAAATGCAGCAAGTTTTAGTTTTATCAATACTGTATACAAATCACCTGGCACTTAGTGGGTAGTCAATTAAAAAACCACCACCAACAATAACAAAACACCTGCTTTTACAAGTAAAACAGATGACAAAGGCATCATGCTTTATAAAAATCAATGCTATCTTTTTTAAAATATGCCCATGTATGTAAAGTTCATTAGACTGGGATTAAATGTCAAATTTTCAAAGTATAAAACCTAAAATCTATCAAGTAAATAATCATTCTCTAGTGACATATTTAAGAAAATTATGGTTTTCAGGGTATTGAACTCAGTTCACAAGTCAGAAAAGTATGGTATAAAGTCAGAAGTTAGGTTAATAGCAGAAGTATTACAAGGAGTGAAATAAAGCTAAAATTACAGCATTAGTAGATTTGAAAACCTGTAGAAGACCAACTGTGTCAAGAAGAAACCATTCACTTTGGAAGATTATGTCTATTATGACATGGTTTTCATAAACTCCTAATAAAAATATAATAAAGGAAAACAAAACAGTAGAAAAACACATCCAACATATCACTATTTAAGAGAACTAATTCCTAGGTGATTAGTAAAGCTCTCTGAAATGGGTGAAAAGGCATGATTCCTAAATCCAAAGGGAAATTAAAACCACAAAGTTTTAAACAAAACCATATGGGAAAAAATACGTCACAAAATAAAATGGAATAATTTAGTTTTCAGCTTTCTCTTTACAAAAATTCTATTTTTAGATCAGATACAGTGGTTTAAGATATTACCATGTCTTTAAGCTCCCTTTGATAGGGAAATACGTGTTTGCTACTTCTAAAGGTAAATAGAAGGTTTTGCATTTAAGTTACAATATGGAATACTTCAGAGTAACCTTATGCCAAAGTGGCACATTTCTGAGGGATGCAAATGTATTCAATAAAAAGCTTTTAAAGGCATATTTAAACTTGCAGCAGAACTTTTCTGTGTCAAGACAGTAATACTTTTAACAGCATTGATCAAAATGTCATTCTTTTATAAGTTTACAATACCCTTTAATGGCATACAGCAAGCCATTAGGGTTATACACCTCTGTACAGCCGTCAGCTTACTAGGAAAAAAGAGAACACTGGCCAAGATACAGTCAGTAGGTTTTATCTTAATAAGGAAACTTTCCCCCACTACCTGCTTCATTCTAAAGTCCACAACTGAAATTATCCAAAGAGTAAATCTAAGCTCTCTTCAGTTCTGTAATTTAGAAGCATTTTCACAGAGCCCTAAACTGCAAGGTCTACACTGTATCTTGGCAGATACCATAGGATGGCCTTGAAAACAGCCTCTCACCCAGAGCAAGTGAGGAACTATTCATGAAGATTAGAAAAGAACTATGATTTTACTTATTTTGCTACTTTCTGGGGAAAGAAGAAAGTGAATTTTAAAAAGTGTTATGAGATAATCACTTTTCATATTTATTTATAAAGCCAAATACTAAAGGAACATTACAGTTATGTATTACTCTACCATAAAATATCTCTCTTCATCAACTAACATTGATTAGGTAATCTTTCATAAAATCATCTTAAAAACAAGTCCTTATCTTTGGGGTAGTCATGCTTTAAGAAAGCTAAATTCTGAAACTACTTACAAAACTTAATCATATGAGTATACAAACTCATTTAAAACTTTTATCAATTTACCAAATTTCTAACCATTCAGGAAATAGAGAGGGAGGCTTTTCCCACTTTTCATGATAAACCTTTACTTATTTTTCACAATTAAAGGAAATATGACTTGAGTACAAGTAAATTCTTAGAATAACAGAAATACCCCAGATATATTGATTGTAGCCTAAGTCTCTACCTTCTGAAACTATTTAAGGGCTTCAAAGAGTCTAAAAAAAATGTTACCAATAATAATTACAATCCTGCACCAAATAGTAAAACTCAACTTTACAGACAACACCAGATATATTTCATGAAACTTTTCCCTAGAAGTAAAGTTTTAAAAGTAGAAGAATCTGTCTCCTTTTAAAGGTGTAAGTGTGTGGGTGTGAGTATGTGGGTGCGCAGTGGGAAGAAAATATCAAGAGAAAAAGAAAGTTCATATGAATGGCTTTCTAAATTTTATTATCAAACAGAAAGTTGTTTCAGGCAATGTAGAGACCCAGAGTATCTGCACCAACTCCATCCCTGAAAACAACTAAAAATGCAAGGTAATTAAAAAAAAAAAACAACTTCTTAAAAGCATCCCAGGTGATAAAAACAGTAAGAAATCAGCAATCCAAAATCTAAGTGAACGTGGGAACTCAGAGAAGGTAAGTGAAGTGCTTAATCTACTTTTGCCCTGAGAATATTCAGTCAATCATTTTGACTAGAATTAAAATGTACAGATCTGGTTTGGAATGAAGGATAGAAAACAAACACAAACACCATCTAAAGAGTCTAACAAGAGGCTGTCCTATGAAGCTG